TGGTCTGGCTGGGCTGAAGTTGCCCCACCAGCTTCCTCCAGCCGCTCACTGATCTCCTCCAGTTCCCGGGAGAGGTCCGAGCGCTGCTTCTCTGCTTTGGCCCGAGAGGCCCGCTCTGCCTCGATTTCCTCCTCCAGCTCCTCAATGCGGGCCTGGGAGTGATGAAAAACACAAACTTAGCTTGTGTCAGTAATTTTCTCATGTGGATTTCACTGGTGGAAACCAGGTACTTACCTGTAACTCCTTGATCTTCTTCTGTAGCTGCATCCCGAGGGCCTGTTCATCTTCAATCTTGCTTTGCAGATTGCTCATTTCAAACTCTTTTCTATTAGAAAAGCACTTGTGGTTAGTGACATAAATACTAATATTAATTTCCCCCATTAAACTTTTGTCTTTGATGCTTACTTTTTAAACTTTTCATCAAGTTGCTGTTTGTCATTTTCAACATCCATTATGGATTCTTGGGCCAATTTTAGGTCTCCCTCCAGTTTCCTCTTTGCTCTTTCTAGATCCATCCGGATTTTCTTTTCTTGTTCCAAAGATCCTTCAAGCTAAACGTTAATAATCCATGAATACAGTTCCTGGCATGTTATCACCTTTTGTCCCAAGTTGAACTTACAAATATTTAACTCATGTAATCAGCAAATTATTTTGATTTTTCTTTGAATTAGACAAATCTATCCCATCTATTACTTTTTATTGCTACTTATCTAGTCCAAAGATTCATCATTTACAAAGTGAAATGCACCTCATTACAACATTGGTACAGTAAACTACTAGGGAGACCTCTTGTCATCTCTGTCTCCCCACTGGAATTCATTGTGTTTGATGCTTTACCACATGGAATAAACACCATAGCAATATTTCCAAACCATGACCTTTGTCAAGTCCTCCCTTACTCAGACATTTACAGCGGATTCTCCATTCAATATCAGAACATGTTTGAAGCCAAATTTATCTCCCATGTTCTCCTTTGTCACTGTGAGAGAAAATCTTACAGATCATTATTGCTTCTTTGCTCTTGCTACACTTCTCATTTAGAGAACATTCTCTCTTCTATATCTTCTCATAGCCTCTCTTCTTTCAAGCTCAGATAAAGACCCATTTTGTTTATACAGTTTTTTCTTCCTTCTTTCCCCCTAATTTATTTTACCCATATTATCTGTTACAACTAACTTTCTTTCTTTCTTTTTTTTTTTTTAACTAACATGTCCATATTAGTTCTTACAGCAGGAGTAGAGGCCCGGTGCCCAAATTCATGCATGGGTGGGGTCCCTCAGCCTGGCCGGCAATCAGGGCCAGTGGTGGGGAGGGACTGCAGTAGGTTGGCTGACTGTGGGAGGTTGGCTGTGGGAGCACACTGACCAGCTGGAGGTAGCTCCTGCATTGAGCGTCTTTCCCCTGGTGGTCAGTGCGTGTCATAGCGACTGGTCGACCGGTCGTCCTGGTTGTTTTGGTCACTTGGTCATAATGGTTGCTTAGGCTTTTATATATATAGATAATGTTCTATACTGTTTATTCATTGGACACTCCTGAAAGTACTCATTACACTGTAAGAATCCAAACTCATGCCCACTTAGTTACAAAATTAAAAAAAACAATTTTACATGATGTTAAGCTTACATCATCCACTTGTTGTTCAAGCTTGGTTTTAGCTTTGGTCAGGGTGTTGACTTTGTCCTCTTCTGCCTGCAGGTCATCCAGCGTCTGCTGGTGGGCCTCTTGGAGGGCCTTCTTCTCCTTGGTCAGCTTAGCTATGGTTTCGTCCAGGCCTGCCATCTCTTCTGTGAGGTTTTTCACCTAGAAGTTCAAGGGAGAGATTGTCTCTACTATAAAGCAGCTAATTGGATGGTAGAACCTCTGTAGTGTATAGCAGAATATGTCTCTTACCTTGTTCTCTGTGGCATGCTTCTCCTTTTCAACCTTGGCCAGTGTTAGCTCAAGGTCATCGATGTCTTTCTTCAGTTCTGAACATTCGTCCTCCAGTTTCCTCTTCTTGGCCGTCAGCTCAGCATTGATCTCTTCCTCATCCTCGGCTCTCTCGGTCACCTCTTTGATTTTGGCTTCAAGCTGGATTTTGGTTTTGATCAGCTGATCACACCTTTCCTCTGCATCAGCCAAGCTATCTGCTTCCTAAGAGGGAACAATAGACACTTTTCTATTTTAGTTCTCTGCATATTTTCAGATTATATTAATATTTTGAAAGCAAACCATTAAATTGTGTTTTAAAACATTAGGTTAATTTTTATTAGCTTCCCATCATTTAAGAAACATTTATTGGGCACGTACCACACTGATGATAAAATAAAGGAATTTAAGTCATGGTTCCTGGTGAAATTATGACACAGTTTTATTTCCAGTGATGGTGTTCAGGGCACACCACCTCAAAATATGGCCCTTTGGCATACTGAAAATCTTAAGCTGAAGGAGTTTGAGAAGGAAGGTCGTTTGACCTCCTCCCTTCATCCTTCTTGCCATAAATTTCCCATTTGAGGAGGAAAGGAGACATTTTTATCACCAGAGATGGGGAGTTGGGAGCCAAGAAGGCTGTATACATAAGCCTTATTAAACTGATCCTTAACTTGCTAGTTACTTCTTCACCATTAACTACCCTTAGCACAAACCCGTGTATCTTGTTGATTCTTTTAGTAATATTGTATATGAAAATTTATAGAACATTCTAAGCATTTGTGAATTAGGAAAGGTTGATAATAAGTCTATTGGTAAGGTGGAATCTAGAATTTTCCCTAGCAATTGCTTAAATACAACTTTAGCATCAGATTACAAAAGTGGGTTCTGACACTCACAGATTGAACCTGGAGTTGTAGTTCGTTTTTCTCTTGCATCAGAGCAACCATTTTTTCTTCCAGCTCTTTTCTCTTGGCCTCAGCCTTTGCAAGGTTTTCTTTGGTTTTCTCAAACTCTTCCTTCATGTTGGCCATCTCCTTCTCTGTCTCAGCACTCTTGAGGAGGGGCTTAATCTTGAAATACAGCTTCATCCAGGGCCAGTGCTTCACATTCATGAAGGCGCGGACATTGTACTGGATGCAGAAGATGGACTCTCTGTGATAGGAGCAGAAATTTTCAGTCAGGTATAACAGGAATCAGAATTACAAGACCTATGCTGATGGAGTTTAGTAAAGTACCCCTATTAATACCTTCTTTCCACCATCTTCTGGTACTCCACTCTTGCCAAGAACCCTCTGCACCTGGCCTGGGTTCGGGTAATCAGCTGGGCCAGCTTGTCATCTCGCATCTCCTCTAGGAGCCCCAGAAGACCAGCTTTGAAAAAGACCTGTGCATGAGCAGAGTTGTAGATCAGAAACTACATCAACTTCAAAGCGACAGGAATAACGTCAGGTAGACTTCAGAGACTATTACCTTGGTGTGACCAAATTTATACTGAGTGTGGTCAATGTCAATGGACCCAAGGAGCTTCTCAGAAGCCTTCTTGCTGTCAATGAATTGTCCTTCAGGGATAGCACTTGCATTTAATACCTTGTATCTGTTTAACAAATAAATGATATAACTGTTGTCATGAACAAGAAGTCTTCCTGCCTTATTATAGAAACATAGCTGTTGAGTAGTATAACAAACATAAACAAGAAATCATATCTACTTCTTTATTCTCCATATATTCAAAGGGTGTCAAACTTTTGGTATTTCAATACATAGTTAAATTTGTTTTATATATATGTATATTAAGTATCTTTACTATTGAAATTATTACAGATATCCTCTGTTTCTCCATTGACCCCATCCCCCCTACTCCTTCCCACTTCCCAGGCCTTCACAGAACTATTGTCTGTGTCCACTATTGTCTAGCATATAAGTTCTTTGGTTAATCTCTTCCCACCCCCACCTCCTTGCCTCTGAGGTTGGTCAGTGTGTTGCATGCTTCCATGTCTCTGGATCTGTTTTGTTTGTCAGTTTCTTTTGTTTATTAGATTCCACATATAAGTGAGATCATGTGATACTTGTCTTTCTCTGACTGGCTTATTTCGCTCAGCATAATACTCTACAGGTCCTTCCATGCTGTCTCAAAGGGTAATAGATCCTCTTTTTATAGCTGCATAGTATTCCATTATGTAAATGTACCACACCTTTTTTATCCATTCACCTACTTGGTATGTTTCAGATCTTAGCTATTGTAAATAATGCTTCTATGAACATAGGAGTGCATATATTTTTTCTGATTGGTGTTTCGGGATTCTTAGGAAATATTCCTAGAATCGGGATCACTAATGAGCCTTTCACTGAAAAATTAAAATAAATAAGAGAAATCTCTTAAAATAATTCATGGTGAGAAAGTCTGACCTCTGTTTGAAGTCTGCATAAATGATTCTGCTTGGAAATCCCTTCCTACAGATGCGGATGCCTTCCAGCACACCATTACACCGCAGCTGGTGCAGCACAAGTTCATGCTCCATGGCCCCTAAAAATGAAAGATACATATGCCTCATTTCATGGTCTAGCACAAACACACAAGCTTGTCTGGATATCAGAGCTGTCTTACCGGGAGTTTTGGTTTCATTGGGGATGATGCACCGTACAAAGTGAGGGTGTGTGCTCCTCAGGTTGCTCATCAGCTTATTCAAATTCTCCTGTGAAACCATATGAATATTTGGTTTAAAAAGTATACTATTTTCAGACATTCATATATACAGACATAATCATGCTCCATGGCATTCATTTAATACTTCTTAAATTTTTAATTATTTTTACATTTTATTTTTCAGTTGCAGTTTATATTCATTATTATTTTGTCTTCTTTTTAGGTGTACAGCATAATGGTTAGACAAGCATATACTTTACAAAGTGTTCCCCCTGATATTTCCAGTACCCATACAGATTAGAATTTGCAAATAGTTAACTCTGAAATTTCCACATTCCTAAAACGGCCTTTTATTGCCTATTTTTGTGCATTAATATAGAGATTTTGTCTCCTAAATGTTGAAGTGATTGTTCACTGATGTTGAGTGTGATAGGATACGTTGTCAATTTATTTTTTTTAATATATTTTATTGTGTGTGTTTTATTTTTACAGAGAGGAAGGGAGAGGGATAGAGAGTTAGAAACATCGATGAGAGAGAAACATCGATCAGCTGCCTCCTGCACACCCCCTACTGGGGATGTGCCTGCAATCAAGGTACATGCCCTTGACCAGTATCGAACCCGGGACCCTTCAGTCCGCAGACCAATGCTCTATCCACTGAGCCAAACCGGTCAGGGCGAATACGTTGTCAATTTAGTATGACATTCTAAACATATGGAAATACCTCCAGCCACTCTTTTTGCCTAGATATGTGATCTGGTTTTACAAATAAGTCAGTATCTTTCTCCAAATCTCCATTTCTTTCTTTACCTATCTTGCAGTTGTATCTCCTTCCCTATCACATGCTTATTCCTTATCATAGTTAGAGAGCTGTGTCCTCCTTCTGGTTCCACAGTGAGTAACCTTCTAATGCCTTGTTCTGGGAACTGGCAGAAAACTGACAGCCATGTTACCAAGTGTGAGATGTTTTCAAGGAATTCCTGTTTTTTTGGAATAACTACAGCTTCAGTTTTTGCCAACTGAATTGTCAAAAGAAAAGTAAATTTCCTTAAAGGGCTATTTTTTTAATCATAGCTGGGGTTTTTGTGTGTTTTTTTAGATCAGCTTCCAATTCCTACCACTATTCTATCCTCACATTTTGAAATCTTTTCATTTCAGTCTATGCCAATATTCGCCTAAGCACCTGCATCATTTGGAGGCTCCCAAAGGCTCAAGAAAATGGCATGTTTTTGCTTAATCCTACCCATTAGAAATTTATGAGTGTCAAATGACCTCATTTCCTGGCCCCCAAATTGAATTTTACCATCTGATACTTATTTCTGCAATTCATGCTCATCCCTCCTGAGGCCTGTGTCTCCTATATTATACTGAGTATCTCTTCCAAAGTGCCATAAGACTCAGTTCTACCCGCTGACCTCTCTCCTTGAGTCATTCCCAGTATTATAATCCTTGCAACATTAGTTCCCCTTTCCCACACAGTAAAATTAAGTTTAATTTCCTGAATCTAATTAGGGAAAATGAAGTTTGTACCCGGAAGAGAGCAGACACGGTCTGAAAGGAAGAACCCTTCTTCTTGGCGGCTTTCTTTCCAGCAGCAGCATTAGCCTCTAAGGGGAACCGAGAAAGCACAGCAGTCATAGAACAGGCTTCCTCACATGAGGGTTCAGACATTCAGTAAGAGAGAATTCTATCGAAAATTACCTGCTTCAGCGGCTGCTGCTGCCCCGGAGAAGAGGTAGGCTAGAACCTTCAGGGAACACTTCTGGTACAGCCCGAGCACAGTCTCATTCAGGGGGTCCTTGTTCTTGTCCAGCCAGCCGGCAATGTTGTAGTCCACAGTGCCCGCGTAGTGCACCAGCGAGAAGTGGGCCTCAACCTTGCCTTTGACAACCTTGGGCTTCTGGAAGTTGTTGGACTTGCCAAGATGCTGCTCATACAGCTTGTTCTTGAAGGAGGTGTCTGTGGCCTTGGGGAACATGCACTCCTCTTCCAGGATGGAGAAGATGCCCATAGGCTAGAAGGAGCATAACAGGCTGTACCTCAATATTCAATACCAGTCTATTCCAAGGACCCCATTGTCTGCAGGAGCCAAAGCCACTTTGGTGCTGCCGCTCTGTTACTTAGAACACTGGACTGTAAGTGCTGTGAGAGCAAGGCTCTTGGTCTGCTTGGTGCAGTGACAGAGTAGCACCAGACAGATGGTATGTGCTTAATTAATATTTGTTGAACAACAGTACATGGAATGAAATTATGTGTATATCAAACAGCAGTGTGGTGGTGGGCAGAGGGAAGGGGGTTGAGGGAGAAAGGGGTCTTAATACAAGGTGACAGGAGAAAAATAGACTTTGGGTGGTGGGCACAAAGTGCAATATACAGATCTTGTAACATAGAAACCCACACCTGAAATCTATGTTCATGTTGACCAATGTCATCCCAATAAATTTAATGAAAATTTAAAAAAAAATATGTGTATATAAATGTAGCTCACTTTTAGCAATAGGTTTACCAAAAATTTCATGTACATAGACATCAAATAATATAAGTAATATTTTAAACAATCATATCTGTATTTCTCAGTAGCCACCCCCTTTCAACATTTGACCAGTGATCAAAATGTCATGGGAAAATTTTTAAGTTAATGTTGTTTTTACAGTGACATTGAACCCCACTGCTCCACGGTCCCTCCTCCAGGGGTCTTTGGACAAACCAG